GTGGGAAATAATCTTAACATAATCTGCTGAGCATAGATATGCTATGTTACACACAAGATAGAGACTAAAAATGCGCTGTATAGCAACAAATTTGCTTTGATATCTGTTTGTTAATTTAATCAAAACAAASACTTAAATTAAAATAATATTCTTATCGTTTAATTTTTCTATGTTAGATATGTATTTATTATTTAATAAATATAGATTAACTCGATGTTAATAGTATTCTCCTAGTTGTATAATGTAAGAATACAATTAATTGTGTACTATACAGTTTAAATTTTAAGAGACAATTTTAACTTAAATAACCCATAAATAACTGAAATTTAAATTATAATATAAAAAACATTAGCTTTAAGATGAAATATTTTATGCACAATAATCCACATTTAAATAATATGTGTACAGTACAGATCTTATTTGTTGATGCACTGTATCTTTGCTTATATAAAAAGGATAAACATACAAAAAAACATAAAATTGTTTTAAATCGGGTTTTAAATTCAAATTAAATTATTGTTTAATTATTGATTGTTGCACTAATTCTGTAATAATATAATAATAATAAATTAAAATGCATTTAATATTATGATGCAAAATGATTTTGTTAATAAATAAGTGGAATAAAAATTATATAACATACCTATTATTGGTAATCAGCAATCCCCATTTCTTTGAAATTGGTTCATAGTCATCCATGTCACATTTCCTTTTAACAGGTCCTAAAGTACTAGGACGCATTGAAATTGGACTCAAGCTTCGTCTAAAACATAAACTATGTAAAAAATTATCAAATCTAAAATCTGCTAGCATATTAATTTATTATGCATAAAAAAATTATAAGTATTCAGTATTTATAAATACATGTTTAAACTTAATTATGAATTTTATAGCACAACTTGAMATTTCATATAGTTTAAGAAACTTTATGGTTCAATATAGATTTATCAGTTTAATATTTTGGATGTATATAAAAATGATTATATTATTAAAATTACTGTGAACTCATTCAAGACAGACTGTCATATTCTAAAAGTTACGTTTGAGACAAGTCACACGACTGATGCGTTACAATATTTTACTCATGAAAGCCGAGTCACGCGTCTCGAGCGTATGTCTACTATTGAATTTTAAAAATTAATATACAAATCATATACTCACACCATTGTTTTCATTTAGCAATATATCGATAGAAAATATTGTATCAATTATTTACATTAAATTATTAAAATATTTGCTCCACGTGGAATTTGATTCATAACGCCTATTGGCTGTTAATAATAGATGGATTTAAAAACTGTTTGTCTYCGAGGGGCAAAGGGAGCAAAAATGTTCCATATCCATTGTACATTGTAGTATAACACGCCTAGCTTGTAATTCATGTTCCATATCCATTGTACATTGTAGTATAACACGCCTAGCTTGTAATTCATCTCGAATGTGTTGATATAAATTACAATAATATAACATTGTTAGTTTATTTTAAGTGGCTCAAATTCGATGACAATAGTATTATAAAACATGATTAATAAAGTATAATAAATAATATATACCTAATATAATTAAATATAAAATATTTTAGAAATAATTACCCGGATGTAAAGGTTTTACGAGTAGGACTAGGCGATAAATTAGGTTTAAAAAGTGATGGTGATACACAATGTCTCAATGATCTGGTTGGTGATGGTGATGACGGAGCAGAAGTCATTGAAAAATTTAAATGCAGTGGATCATATACATTAGGTCTAACATGTATTCCACCAGGTTGTTTACCAAACTGTCCTTCATCCGGCTATAAAATAAGAAATATTATACACATTATATTTTCAGTTTCTAATTAGGTATAGGGACAAATTTAAGTTTTAAAAAAAAAATTGTWTTTAAAATGTTTTTATAATATTTTGGTGACTTAAGAATCAAAGTATGGTAAACATATTGTAAAATCGTTTTTTAATAAATATTAATTGATTATTGAACGTTTTCATTAGCACAAGTATGCATTCATGTTTTAACTGATCATAATCATAAGATAATTTTTATCCAAAAAATTTTACGAACAGTGAATATAAATCATAATATTGTAATAGGAATGTCAGAATACGATCACAAATATTGAAATTTTATAATTTGATGTATTGACWTATTCGATATATTTCTCAATTTAATTTAAATAGTTTTTGTGGGTATCAATTGGCTATTATCATAAGTATTTTTTTAATATATTATTTTAAACTTAACTACCTATATAATTTGTTAAAATATTAACTATATATTTAATCATGAATATAATAAGAATGATACAAATTGTGTATGTACTATGTTTATATTTACACAATGTTTGTCATATTTTAATTTAGGACTCGTGTCTGTTTATATGTTAAATAAATTATATGAAATACAATCTATATTAAGTATCTTATCTGTTTTATACATTTTTTTAGGCGTACAGATTATTTCATGACAAAATTGGATAATACATTGACATACAGGATTTCAAAATATATTTTGAAGTTCCTATACTCTATTCGCCGTAAGTTGACCCACTTGCGCGCATGCATACTGAGCCGCCGGAACGTTCAGACCCCCCACGTCGGAGACAGGTGGTTTGTGATTGGTCAGTGGTGTTCGGCAATCGGCGGTGTACGTCGTAGTAGTCAGCTGCCGTCGTGCATACAGAATGTTATACAAAATAATTGTTATGAATTATATCAATATAATAGTGCGCGTTCGCGGAGATAGTGTCGATACGTCGTGAAGATAATCAAATCACTACGTATACGCCAGGTGCGGTGGCAACGATCAACACTAGCGCTCCGAAGACGTGGTGGTCTGCGCAGCTACGACCGGTTTTCGTCGAGCTAGTGGGTCAACTTACGGCGAATAGAGTATAATAGTACCTGCTATATTAAATCATAATATAATAGGTATGYTTGGCTACATTATTAAATTACCTTTGTTGGTGAATCCATCATGATAGATAAATCTTCCCATGATTGTGATATTTGCATTGCAGAGTGTATTTCTCTTTCATGGGCCACTTCTCTATTAATCAAATCAACTGTTTCTTCCTGTCGCAGCTGATTAACTCTATGAACTAATTTTGGCGAAGTCTGAAACAAAATAATTTATTTCAATATTTCAATGTTTTTTTTATAATTTAAGTTAAATATGTTAATATAATATTTTGAATAAATAAATATATTTTTATTATTTCTAAAAATGTGTTTAAAGTGTTAACATATAAAAGGCGATTTGATGAGAGGATATTTTTATTTTCATTCCATAAAACCTAGTATAGTACCTAACATTTATAAATTAATAAAAACCGTACTAAAATCAAAAATGGGTAACTTAATATACACATATCATTATTCATTTTCCTAGTCATTTGAAAGTAATATCGAATATTATATTAATACCATTACAATTAGCTTAAAATTAATGTTTCTGGTCAGAAAAAATTAATTTTGTACCTAAATGCTCAAATTAAAATTCGAAAGATTGCCTTATAAGCTACAGACAAAGATAAGTGCATATTATGTAGACAGAAGAACCATTAGTGACTTACGTTTGGCATTACATTATGAGGGCTTCCACTTGTGCTAAATCTACGAAAGCGTGGTTGTACTTGTACATTTCGTAAAAATATGTTACACGTATTTTCTCTGAAACAAAAGAGAATCCAATTTAGTACAACGTTGTATGAACATCATATTGCATTACATTAATTGCTTGATTATAAAAACTTTCTAATGGATACTTATTTATTGAAATGGTTTACATAGTTTTCGAAAATTATTTGATACACATTGTAAAGGTAGTTGGACTAGAATAATAATAATGTTCCAACACCAAAACAGGATATAAGTAAAAATATGTAAAAGATCTTACTCAGTTAACGATGCTAAGTACTGAAAATATCTATGTAAATAATTCATTAGATTAGGCAAGTACATTGTACATAGGTACTGTAAGAAAGGCAAATACTAAAAGCGAAAAAGTTATAATGTCAGACACTGAAGACAATAGAGTTACCATCTGGRTATAACAGTACCTAGACAGAGCAGTGCATGGTGACCCAACTATGGAAGCATTCATATCGTTGATCATCGGCGCACTGTTGGATCTTTTGAGACTCGATGGACAGTCTACATCCATCTTGACGATAGGTCCGTCCTTGACAGACATTTCAATTCTCTAGCGAATCGGTATTGAACGCAACACACAGCAGGCGCTTCGCACCAGACGATTGTGACTAGACACGGGGGGCGTTCTAGCACATGGTCGCACCGGCACAGTTGTGTGTACAGGGCTCGAGAACAATGTGACTTATGCCGTCTGATCGTCGGAGTCAGATGACCAGTCGACTTCGGATATCGAATCGCAGTCCGATGTCGTGTCGGAGTCCGACGTGAAGAACTCAGCGTAAACTACCTCGTGGTTCGGCTGGATCACGAACTGCGGCCGTTGCAATACTACTACGGCGGCGGCGGCGGCGGCGGCTTCCGACTGTTCCGTCGTTGGGGCGCCGGACAGCTGGTGCTCGTGAATTCGCGCTAGCACAGCAACTCCAAACAATGCTACGGCTGCAAAGACGGCGACACCGACGACGACGACGACGCGAGAGACGAGCGCGTGAGTCGACGGCGGCCGGCGGAACCGGAGTGTTAAAAACAGGACAAGAGAGAGTGTCATATATTATGAATTAYTACAATAGTAATAACGATAATAATAATTATTATTATTATTACGATATAATTAACGATAATAGTGCACAATGCAAGTAACACGGGAGTGTGTGTGCGTTATTGTTGAATATTATGCGGGCACGCACGCACGCGGACAATTACGTACAGTCATGCGGGGACGCACATACACACAGACACAAGCGCGCGCGGACGGGCGGGCTCGCGCTAAAACGGATCGTCCGGACTCCGGAGCGAGGAGAAATTGAACAAAATTATTAACAGCGAGTAGAACAAAACGATATACGAAACGTGCGCGCTCGCTCGCGTGCTGGTGGGAGGGTGTTGGTTGACCGTCGGCGTGCGGGCGAGCGGCCTGCTATCGGAAGAAAACGGTAACGAAACGACGACGAATAATAATAATGATTGAGTAATTAGCGAAAAGGAATAACAAATTAAATGGAATGAAGAGAGAGCGAGGGGGGTGGGAAGAAGTGGGCGAGAGGAGAGAATCAACAACCGATTCTTATTAGAATATAATTATGTTATTCTATCAACACGGCACACCGACTACATCACATTTCGAACGCGGAAAAATAAAACATGTGTTGCGATCGGTTCAAAACACGACTCGAATGTGATACAGCGCTAGTGCGCATGCGCGAGAATGTCTCTCCCGTCGTTGTTCGGCGGCGATGCCGATGCGTGTTTTTCACACCACGCATAGCGCCACAGGCCGCTAGCAGCTGCCTGCTGCCTGTTCAGGACGCTTTGCCGCACGGCGGTGCGCGTGCGCGTACATCACCGTATCCGGGCTTATCATTAGCACGTTCCGATGTTCATGTTGTACGAGCACCGGGCACACCGGAGTCCGAGTGAACGTTTTTATTTCTACCTACACGCATTGGCTCCACAACAATGCTGACCTCGCCTAATCCCCTTGTCCATTTCGCCGATTTTTTTTCCAAATGTTTGGAAAATAAACTACCCAATTCTRCTAGATAACTAACTGTACTAATAAATACTAAATATTCTAAATATTACCTATACGGCTATACCTACTGGGAAAAGAAATCCCAATGCTTTTAAATTAATTTTTGTACAGGTTTTCTTTGTAGCCAACAAAAAAAAAAAAATGAATAAATCTGATTAAATGTATACTATATCTACAATTTATACGCAATGCAATGGGTGTATTATGTCACCGTGATTAGAAGAAGATAATATAATATTGGCCATGTGTTTAAAACTTAAAACTGCACAAATGGAAAACATCTAATTATAAAATAAGATAATTTTCATTAAATTCGGAAATTGAACTRATGCACATTGCATATTATGAAGTATTAAATAAATAATAAGTAATATTCTAAAATCCAATATGTAATAATAACGATAAATATAAATATAAAGTACATATTATTATTGTCTCTGCAGCGTTGTACCCAACTGATGTCAGCAATTTTTAGTCAAGTGTGTTGCAATGTGCCAAATGCCMATATATACTGGGTGATTAATTTAACATAACAATAAGAGATACTAATTCAAATTCAATATAAGTATTTTTGAAAATATTAAGTGTTGTCAAAGTGTCGAAAAGTTTTAAAACAGCGTTTTTATTAGAAAATTACTTTTAAATAAATTTTGAAGTTTTTTACTTTTTTAAATTACAACATGTACCTATTACAACAATTATACATTTAATCTTCGAGGGCAAAATATTTTTCTGAGTACCTTTTTTGGTATATAAAAATCGAATTGAGGACAAGTACCTATTAATTATTATGAGTTATATAAGTATTTAAAATCTGGATTAGCTGAGAAATGAATCAACATAATTATTATAACTTATAAGCTATTATACTCGTCCTAAATTGCGATATTAAGAAAAAATATTTTAATTTCAAAAGTGAAATTAAAACTGTATGTTATTGTAATTCGTAAATCGCAATTCAAAACAGTGAAAAACAAAATATTTTTTTTTAATAAAAACGTTGTTTTGAATGACTTGAAATTGCGTAATTTATTTTTTTTCGAAACATTTATGATTTTTAAAATAATGGGTGTTTGAAGATAAAAGAATCACCTAGTCCTAGTGTAAGCAAATGGCAATCATTTTATTATAATTTGTAATGCATACGACTGTAATGGCTGTATGGTTTTACATTTATAACGTTTAACATTTAACAGTTATATGGAGATGTAAAAAGAAATCATTAAAAATGAAAATTAGTGTTTGAAGGATAAATTATTACAATAAGTGTTTAATTATAAATTATAATCCAAGGTAAAAAAAAAAAACAATTGAGTATAAAATATGTATAATGTGTATAGTTTAAAATGCCTATCTATATAATACAAATAATGCACATATATTAATAGATAGTACAGGTATTTTCAAAGTTATATTGATTTATTATACATTGATTTGATTTTAGATTCTGAGCGGAGCAATGAGCTGATGTATATATTGATTTTACATTGTTGTGTTTTTTTTCGTGTCTGTGTACACGATATATAAGTTATTAAAATAATAATTAATTTTTGAAAAAATCAAATCCAGATTATTGATGTAACTCAAAAACAAATTACTGTAGAAGTGTAGTCACATGAAATTTAAACTGAATATTTCTACTGCCATTTTCAATATACATGATAAAATTTTAAAAATATTTTAAATCTTTTTAAGTTATTTATAKACATATTAAATTTTCGATTTTTTTMGATTTTTTAGATTCTGAGCGGAGCGATGAATGTATTGACTTTACCATGATGTGTGTTTTTATTTTTTTTATTTATTTATTTTTTGTGTCTGTCATCACGTTTTGGGGCAGTAAAAATGCTTCCGTTTTTGACTTCAGTACCTCGTTCGATCAGAAAGTGAATCTAGTTGGTACTTTGGGGGGTMAAAARTGAAAAATTCTTAATACTTTTCTAAATAATCGAGAATAACAAACTAAACATTAAGGGAAAAACGGGAAATTTTACTCACAAACAGTTTTCGACAAAATCGATTTTGGTTTTTGAAGTAACTTTAAAACAAATGACCATTATARATACGTGCAATTTTCACCGAATGTATATATTTTGATATATTTTCTATCCACCATAAAATTTTCAAAAAATTTCGACTTAAGTTGAACTATTCATAGATATTTGCAATTTTCGATCATTATTATTTTTTTTTAAATTAATATCGATAAAAATTTATTTGTTGGGCAGAAAAGCTTGAAAATTTAATACAAGGCCCTTAACATATTGTTACAATAGMAGTTAAAAAATAAAATAAATTCATAGTCACAATTCTTTTTTATAAGCATTTAAAGATTTAATTTTGACAAAATACGTAAAAATCACGAAAATTCACAAATTATTTTAAGCTAGAAATTCATAAAAAAATTTCTTTTTAAATCTAAGATTTAAAAATTTAATACAAGATTCCTTACAAGTTTTTCAATCTTTATCACAAATRAAAAGTCTACCGGAAATTCAATTTAAATTTTTATGAGCATTTGAAATTTAAATTTTTACAACATTGGATTTTCACTTTTAGCGATTTCCTTATTTTGGTGTAACTCTAAAGCAAATGACCGCAGATACTTGAAATTTTCACTGAATGTTTATATAGGCATTTTATATACTTGATAAAGATTTAAAAATATTTAGATTTGTTTTGAGCTGTTTACTGACATTTTAGTTTTTCAACCTTTTTAGTTTTTTTTTATATAAATATCGATAAAAATTTATTTGTTCGGTAGAAAAGCTTGAAAATTTAATACAAGGCTTCTAACACATTGTAACAATAGCAGTTAAAAAATATTAAAAATTCGTAGGCACGATTTTTTTTTATAAGCATTTAAAGTTGAAATTTTGACTACACATACGTAAAAATTACGGCAATGTTCAAATTATCTTAGATAGAAATTCATAAAAGTTTTTCTTTTTAATTCTAAGATTTGAAAATTTAATACAAGGTTCCTAACATATTTTTACAATAGCAGTTGCAAAATAAAAGGAATACATAGTCATAATTTTTATTTATAAGCATTTAAAGTTCAAATTTTGACAACATATTATGTAAAWATCACGAAAATTAGTAAATTATTTTATGCTAGAAATTCATAAAAAAATTTTCCTTTTATATCTAAGATTTMAAAATTTAATACAAGGCTCATAATATATTTTTACAATAGCAATTGAAAAATCAAATAAATACATGTCAGMAAACATCTCGGAATACTACCATCAAAAATCATTTGTGATGATTTACAAAAATCAAAAAACGTTTAAATCTTATGAACCAATTTACCGATAGTCTAAACTATAGACACAGTAGTTGTTACAGCACTGCGATAATTTAATATAATCCAATATTCAGTAGTCACTCGATAATTCGAACCTAGTTAATTCGAAAAATTCCATAACTCGTATTAATTATCTTCCCCTGATTATTCGAACACTTGGTAAATCGAAAACCTCTATAAGCTYAGTCCCCTGAATTTCGAATTATAAAGCGACTTTGTAG